TAGCAAAAATATTTTTAAAAATTTTCTTCACATTAGAGAAACGCAAACAAAACAAAAAACTACAATGAGATACCATCTCACACGAGTCAGAATGGCTATTGTTAAAATAGTGAAGTATCCTAGTCAGGGCACCAGAAAGAAAAAAAGTGAATAACAGGTCAGGCATGGTGGCTTGTGCCTGTAATCCCAGCACTTTGAGAGGCCGAGGCAGGCAGAACACATGGTCAGCAGTTCGAGACCACCCTGGTCTAAAATGGTGAAACCCCCATCTCTACTAAAAAAAAAAAAATACAAAAATTAGGCAGGTGCAGTGGCTCACGCCTGTAGTCCCAACTACTTGGGAAGCTGTTGGGAAAAACAGCAGAGGAGAAAGGACTTACAGAGTGCCTACATAAATTGGTTACGAGTAACACATAAACAAGGAAAAACAAACTGCAGAAGACTGCAAGAGGCCTCTGAGGAGGAAGGCCTCTCCATGCCTCATGTTCCAGTGCAGGGTGACCTCAGCTCTGTTACCATACATTGTGCTCAAGGATGTAAAACCCCTTGGTAGCACTATGATGTAGCCAGACTTGTAGGCTCCTTGTAAGGCCAGCGTTCCATCAGCTGTACATAGATAATAAGCTAAAGATAACCACATGTTCTTGTTTTGTGAAACTCCCAAACCGCCACTATTATCAGTCCTTAGAATGACACACCAGTTCCGGCTCACTGATTCACCCCACCATCACTCCACCCCCACCCTATAGAGGATAGTGATTGTAGTCAATAAATGGTGTGGATGATCAGAGCTCGGGACCTTCGCTGTTTCCTCCAGGGTAATAAAGTGATGTCCCCCTGGTCCCACTTTTTCTCTTAATCTTTTTCTCATTCCTTCGTCACCACCTAACGGGGTACCCACGGGTGATGTAGGGCTGGCTTCTACAGGAAGCCCAGGCAGAAAAATTGCGTGAACACAGGAGGCCGAGGTTGCAGTGAGCCGAGATCGAGCCACTGCACTCCAGCCTAGGCGAAGGAGCAAGACTCAGTCTCAAAGAAACCACGTAACTGTATCTAACCAATTACTAAATTTGGTTTTCTTCATCATGCATTTTATAAAAGACTTATCTTCAAGCCTCTCTTATAGACCACAAACTACAAACCATAGCTGGGTGCTCTACGATTCTAGAACCACTCTTTGATTAAATTCTTTATTATTTTTGCAGAGACTCCCATATATTTTTAATAGAAGAAAATAGGAACTGGGAACCCCATGGAACAACGGTGTTCCCATTCATGTACCCGAAGGCCAAGTCAGGATTCTCCCCTGACGACCCTCCCGTGGTCCCTGCACAATCTGGGAGAGAAGCCGCGCTCCGGGTGCAAAGCTACCCAGAAAGTGCTTCAGGCCAGGGCACACTCAGAGCGCAGGGAAGAGACAGGACATCCGGGGCCGGCTGTTAGCACAGCCACCACCTTATGGCTAAAGGGGACTGAGGCTGAGCTGGGCAAGGAAAACTCAGGCACAGATTGCAGAGCTGACTGTGGGAAAGCCTGAGTCCTGTCACAACCACTTCCCACCGGTTCCAACCAACCCCTTCCCCTCTCTCTAGATGTGAGACCCAGCACTCACCATTTCTAGGCTTCCAGGGGATCCCGGCATCTTAGCTGTGGATCTCCCAATGCCTGCAGGTCACAGGGCCACAGAGGCTGGGTTTCTAGGAGCGGAGAACCAGAGGAGTGAAGACGAGACCTGGAGCTCCGGCTGCTGTGAGAGACAAAGGGCCCGCCACATCCCGGAAGCTGTGCTGGTCTTTCCAGCTACGTGCCTGATTGGACGGTTCATAGCCCAGCGTCGCTGATTGGATAACGTTTAAAACCCCACCCTCTCAGGCCCTGCGTGACAGAAGATGTGATTAGATGCCAGACTGAAGAGTGACAGCCTAGGCTGCTGTCTAATCAGCCAGGGCTTCCTCTCTGAACTGAGCTAGGCCCACCACAGAGAGTATTTGCATTCAACCTTGTGTATAAGGTAATATGCATTTGTAAATAACATATCATATGGCTATACATAAATGAAAAGAATATAATAACAAATGTTTTAAATTTTCAGCTTTTTTTTTCGTGGCCGGGTTCCATGGCACACGCCTGTAATCCCAGCACTTGGGGAGGCCTGGGCAGGTGGATCACGAGGTCAGCATGGCCAAGATGGTGAAACACCATCTCTACTAAAAAATACGAAAATTAGCCAGGCATGGTGGCATATACCTGTAATACCAGCTACTCAGGAGGCTGAGGCAGAAAATTGCTTGAACCCGGAAGTAGGAGGTTGCCTTGAGAAACCCAATGTCCAGGGAGGAAATTCTGCAAGGCTGAGCAGGAACAATGTTTGCAGATTGCATGTTGCAGGGGGAGAGCAAAATTAGTTGAGGCAGGAAAAAGTTTCACTTCTTTCTATAGCCACATGATTACTTGTGGTTACCTCAGACTTTCTGGCTTCTGGGGACCATCCAAAGGTGTACGTGTAGGTCACCAAGGTTATAATGGCCAGGCTTGGCCTCGGAGGCCTAACGTTGGCTTATGGTTCTTTGAACAGGCAGCATGAGATTTTAAAAAGGAGATAATCCTCTGAGATAAAATGTGAACTACATGTAAATTTTGAATTTTCTAGTAGCCAAACTTTAAAAAGAAACAAGGAGCCAGATGCGGTGGCTCACGCCTGCAATCACAGCACTTTGGGAGTCCTAGGCGGGTGGATCACGAGGTCAGGAGTTTGAGACCAGCCTGGCTAACATGGTGAAACCACGTCTCTACTAAAAATACAAAAGTTAGTTGGACACAGTGGCGGGGGTCTGCAATCCCAGCTACTCAGGAGACTGAGGCGGGAGAATTGCTTGAACCTGGGAGGCAGATACTGCAGTGAGCAGAGATCGCACCACTATACTCCAGGCTGGTCGAACAGAGCAAGACTCCCTCTCAAAGAAAAAAAAGAAGAAAAAAAAAGAAAACGGGGCCAGTATCGTAGCTAACGCCTGTAATCCCAGAACTTTGGGCAACTGAGGTGGGTGGATCAAGAGATCGAGACCATGTTGATCAACATGGTGACATCTCTACTGAAAAAGTACAAAAATAAGCTTGGCAGGGTGGCAAACGCCTGTAGTCGCAGCTCCTGGAGAGGCTGAGGCAGGAGAATTGCTTGAACCTGGTAGGCAGATGTTGCAGTGAGCCGAGATTACGCCACTGCACTCCAGCCTGGCTACAGAGTGAAATTCCATCTCAAAAGCAAACAAACAAACAAAAACTAACTAGAAGCAGGTTGAATTCATTGTAATAATGTAATTAGCCTCATATATCCAAATATTATCATTTAATGTGTAAGGAATATGTAATTATTAAGTATATAAATATTTGCAATATTTTTTTTTGAGACAGAATTTTGTTCTGTTTGCCTAGGCCGCGGTGCAATGGAGCGATCTCGGCTCACCACAACCTCTGCCTCCAGGGTTCAAGTGATTCTCCTGCCTTAGCCTCCCACATACCTGGGATTACAGGTGACCGCCACCAAGCGCAGCTAATTTTTTTTTTTTTTTGAGACAGAGTTTCGCTCTTGTTACCCAGGCTGGAGTGCAATGGCGTGATCTCGGCTCACCGCAATCTTCGTCTCCTGGGTTCAAGCAATTCTCCTGCCTCAGCCTC